GTTTGGTGATATGTTGAAAAACATCTTCCGCCCCGCCCTTGACTGGGACTCGAGGTAGTACAGTTTCCCAGCTGCAGACATGATAGGGTGCAGACAAATAATGCTGATGTAAGTGGCATAGTTGTGCACATAATTTCTGCTATTGTCCCTGACGAACCCGATTTCTATCATTTTTACTGAGTCCCTGTAAAAAAACTCTCCAGCAAAGATCGTCTATCTCCCCCGTGGCCAGAACCTGGGCTTCCGGCAGGTAGATAACTACTCCTACCCCCAAATTATGTGGAGAGTGTAAAGCAAGCAATATCAAATATGGAGAATGAAAACCTGTTGCGGCAAGCAACTTATTTTCAGACCTATCAATAGACTTTGCACATGTCTTTACAAACCCGAACGGTTATTCATGGTGCTTGGTCATTACGGACATGTTTAGTAATTTTTCCAAATTTTACGCCTGCAAGACGACATCATCAGTTGAAGTAATGAACCACCTCTCAAGCTTTTGTGCAGATTTTGGGTTGCCACAGAGAATCCACGTAGATAGTTGCGGTGCAACAAAGAGCGCGGATTTCATGGCGTTAACCAAAAAGTTCGGTGTAGAAGTTGTTTATTCAGCTGGGGGAGTACATTTTTCACAGGGTGCCGCCGAATCCATGATTAAACGGCTAAATTCGGCACTTCTATTCTTGACAGCTGGAAGGCCTTCAGTAAAAAGAAGTGGCATTTATTGCTACCATTCATTAACTTCCATTTAAACAATGTGGCACAAATCAGTTCAGGCATGTCGGCCCACGAAATCGTGTACGGAAAACAGCTGAATACAAGATTTATGAACAAAACACTATTGGAAAAGAAAATATCATTAAAAAGCCGATTTTGGATCCTGGTTAAAATTCGCGAGAATGCTCGAAACCTAAAACAGAAAGCTCGTGAAAAGTTCAAAATGACATATGACAGAAACAGAAAACCTCTGCAACTAGAAAAGGGTAACCAAATATTTGTCAAATTCGAAAGGAAGGCGTCGAAAAATGACCCCATTAAACTGCAATGCAGATTCAGGCGTGGAAAAATAAGAAGGAAAATCTCTGACATTTTCTATGTGGTAGAATTTTCTAGACGAGACGGAAGAAAATGGTATCGTCTAACACACGTAGCACAATTGAAAGAATTCTTGGAGCGCCCTTCATATTTAAAAAGTGAAAACATTCTATCGGTGGGGGAGGTGGACGAAATTGGACCTAGCCAGAGCGAATCGGGAGTTTCTAACTCCGATTGTGCTCCCTACCCTATGGTTAACAGAATAATGGCAAATGTGGAGATGTTAACGCATTTTGAGATTATTTGAGGGATTAGGAAAACAAAGTGGATTTAAAGTGTCCGGGGCGACTTTGACGATAACGACATAGATAACGACATAGAATAGATTGACAACTAGGTTAAGTGGGTAGGAAATAGCAAAACATAGGTTAGTTGCGCGCATTTAGTTAAGAAATGGTTTCCACAGATTTCGGGGGTTAAAGGGAAAAATTTACAGTACAAGATTATAGAAATAGGCATTTGACGGACAAAGTAGGATAAGGAAGACGTGAGACAACGTTACCGTTGACAAAAGGGACACTGGAACTAAAGATAAAGCAAAAAATAAGTAAAAAGAAATAAATAATTGTCGACAAGCAAAAAGAGTATAATTCAAAGGATAATGAGTATACATCGTTCTCAATGCACACTTACAACTGTTGAGCAGTTGAACACTTAGTTTATCAGTGTTTGCTAGACGTCCATGAGACCACCTTCGATCCATACGTAGACATCTTAAAAACGTCTATTAGTCGTCTATTTTCCCATATGGCAAGTGAGTTAAATGTCAAAATTAGCCCGGCCATTCCCGAGGCGAAGGTATAGTCTGCGGCATATTTGAAGACTGTAGGCGGTGCTTGTAGGCGGGCTTGGCAAATCTCATCTAAATCTCGCGTAAACCATACCTCGATCATCCGTGGATAGCGAGTAAATCGTTCACAGACAATCGGCAAACGGGGCGCAGTTTTATCGCAGATCATTCGCAGACTATATGATCTGCGGATTCTAACCGCCGGTCTGATAGTTTTTTTTCCCGTGGGCCACCCTAACGCCCGTACCTGCATAGATCTTGCACAGTCAATCCACGGTCCGTTTTCAGACAATCCGCAGATCATATAGTCTGCGAATGATCTGCGATAAAACTGCGCCCCGTTTGCCGATTGTCTGTGAACGATTTACTCGCTATCCACGGATGATCGAGGTATGGTTTACGCGAGATTTAGATGAGATTTGCCAATATGCGAATAGCCGCCTACAGTCTTCAAATATGCCGCAGACTATACCTTCGCCGCGGGTTTATACAGGCTTGGGGTACATACTCTTGTTACTCGGATTGAAGGCATAATTATGCGGACCATGGCGTTAGATGTTGGGTGAGATCATTAGTTATGTTAGCATAGTAAAGGTTCCTTATTGTTTTGTTCTGTATTTTTTTTTTACGTATTCTGTTATTTTAATGCATACTCTTAATGTCGAAGGTCAATTTGTCGCCCCCCGGCAAGAATATCGGATCTAAAAACGGCAGTTAAAGAATATCCGATCTTCCGATATTGTATCTTAATTCAGTTATGCACACAGAAGTCTGGTGCTAGTTACAAAAATTGTCCTTGACATTTAGAGTGCACTTCGCTCAGCTACCCCGTGCATAATGTTAATGCCCGGGGCCCTACGTATTTATTTTTATTGTTATACTTCATTATTTATTTTTGGGTGTAATTTAAAACCCAGTATACAATTTTGGATTAAATATTTTTGTGATATAAAAGTCTTTGGGGCAAAGGTCCTTCTTCGTCAAATGTCATTGGGTGAAGTGCACTGGGTGAAATGACTCGGGGAAAATGTCACTGGGCACAATGGTTTTGGGTGAAACGGATTAGGTGAAACGTCCTGACGCCGAGCTTGTGAGCAGTTAGTTGTCTTCAGAGAAGGCTTCTTCAGGAATCAACACATGGTCAACAGGAATCCTGGACAGCAGGACCTGAAGAAAAGAAGAAACCCATGAGAGCAATACTAAGGTTAGTGTACTCTGAGATTCAGCTAAACAAAAGAGACAGAGAAAAGAGAGTTGTTGTAAAATCGACTAGACTGACCTGAACTTTTGCTCCGGAGATCACAATGATGTACGAAGGTAAGCTACACTAGAAGTTAGCGAGTGAACGAACACGAACTGAACATATACCCCACACGGAAGATAGACGTCTACAGATGATCGACCTTCCTCTAACTCATCTCTTTTTGTAGATTTCTAGAGATATACATCTATTAGACATCTTTAAACCGTCTTGCTGCTATCGATTGTGATTATAACCGTCTAAATTGAGTCTACGCGTAGATGTGCCTAGACCATGTAACAATAGACATTTCTTTACACGACTAATGGACGTCTTTAAATAGATGTGAAAATACTGTTTAAGCGTAGAGGTAGTGAAGACAACTAATGTACGTCTTTATTTAGATGTGACGGAACCGGAGGGAAGATTAAAAAAAATATGTTTTAAAAGGATATTGGAGACCTAGCACTGTACCTCATATCTAAAACAAAGATTTTAAGGGACACTCTACTGCCAAAGTTTTAATTATTTTATCTTAGGTGTACTACACATCAATTTATCTGCAATATTGTTATGAACATCTTTATTTTCTTGATATTGATATATCTACCTTTGGTCTAAATTACCTCTACGCGCCATCCAAGGTGCAGTTCACTACCATAGGTGAACGGGATATTTTGAAAATTTGAAAAATATTTCCCTTTGCTTTGGATTGAAATATGTTGAAGACAACATGGACGTGCTGAACTTAAGGCTTCATTTGAAAAAGCCCAAGTAACTTTTACACCTCAATAAAGCCGCTTGGAATCTCAGAAGATAGATACCCGCGGCTAGCGCTCCCCTCCCAGCGAGCGTGCCGTGGTCTAGTGGTTAAGGCACCGGTATTCCAAGACGCAGGTCGCAGGTTCGACTCCAGGTAAAGGTAAGGCAAAACTTGACTATGAAAGTGATATGAGGAGAGGCGAAAGAAGGGGAACTATGAAGAACAAGGTAAACGCAAAGTAAAGGAAAAAAATGAAAATATTTTAGCGTTAAAAAGTGGGCTATCTGCTCATGTATATAAGATATATAGTTCCTAATTTCCCGGGAAAATTGGGTCAGGGAATATTCCCGGGAATTTCCAGTGAAAGATTGGGAACATTGGGAAAATATGGGGAAAATTGAGATTTCAGGCAGAAAAGGCAGAATTCATGTAAAACCTGTAAAACCATACTCCCCGGGTACATTCAAAACAGGTGCTTTCACAGGCGGCGTACTCTCCGACCGATTGAGCCAGTATTGCGCGTGTCAGCGAGGGAGAGACATTCGACATGTCGCTGCCCAGTCATGGTCATATACCGGGTGTAACTGTGAATGCGCACAGTGTTGCCCGCCAGGGCTGCAGAAACCATGGCGCCTTACGGGACGGGCGAATTGGGAAGGCATACCAGCAACACTGTTGCGCATTCACAGTTACACCCGGTACATGTACCGTGTAATTTAGAGCACGCGCCGCGTGTTGCTAGATTGCATACCCTAGGGACTATGGCGCCTCACGGGCGGACAGAGTAGGCAAACCCGCCGACGGCGGCGCGTGCTCTGAAGCAGCCGGTGTTCCGGCCTCGGTGACCGGGAAAGGGCGGGCGGCAGCAAGGTTCAACCGCAGGAACGATGGACATAAGTCCTACAAAACTCTGGGCGCACACCGCCTGGTTGCCTAACAAACGCAGGGGTGCAGACTGGGTTGCCTTGCGTCAGGCACCCTATTCTTCACTTGAAATAACACTACAACCTTTTTATTTCGCTCTAGAAGTATAGTTCAGTGTTTCCTCGTAGCCAAGCAATCCCGGCAGAGCACAGGGGGAACAGCATGTCATGAGCACACTTGAGAGCATATCATTTCTTTTTAGAAATAGCAGTTAACTCTTCTCTTGCAATGTCTGCACTAAACTTTTCAAACCTTTCTGGTTCTGAAATTACATGACCAAGAAATGCCCTAAATTGTTCACCACATTTCCCGTAACTAGGACAATTGGAAACAGATGTCAGAGCAGCATTGGAAATTTCAACTACGTTATCAAGAATTTTCTCTGTGTCTGGGTATTTCATAGCAGCAACTGGAAGTAAAGAAAACTGTTACATATTGTACTTAGAGCGAAAAATCCAAAGCGCTGTAAATGCAATGCGTACCTTGAATAGTATGAGTTCTTAGGTGAGATTTGAAAGACCTAGTACATATATATTCTTTCAAACAATAAGTGCATATTAATTTTGGCCTCTTGCTGTCTGTTTTCTTTGCAACAGTTTTTGTTGTAGTCTTCTTTTGTGAGGCAGGTGGTGCTGGCTTTTTGAAAGCAGGGGTGTCTTCAATAATGGATAAATCACTGACATCCAAGTGAACATCCTGACTGACATCAGGTTGAGCTGGAAAGAGTTTACAAAAATACAAGTTAAGTTGACTATATAAAGAAAGCTTCAGCAACACATAACCTCCAGAATGAGCGTATTACCTTGGGACAAGTGAGACTCGACATGATTTTTAAAGTAAAATTGAACTAAATATTCTTTCCCACAGTATGGGCACTCGTATATAGGCCGCTTCCTTTTTGCCTTTGGTGTGGATGTGAACGACGGTAATGAATTCCCGTTTTCGTCGAGCAAAGACGAGTCCATTCTATTAAAAATAAACACATTTATCAACAACCAATACTTGTCGGTGAGCAGATTTAGCTCAAGATAATGCGTTGTAAAAGAAATACTAAACCACAAAATATTTACCTTGTTCACAATTCCTACAAATTAGTTAAAATAAACGGCCTAGTCGCCCGTGTGAGCATCCACACGCCCCTCTTCGCTCCGATCCGAATGTCAACACGAAAACGCGGGACCGCACGGAGCGCAGGTGGAGGGGGGCTGGCCGAGGCGCACTGCGCATGAGCGCAGCGCCGCGGCCAGCCGGCAGGCAGCCGCCCGGCCGCTGCCGCCCAGACGCGCTGGCAGCCAGGCGGGCCGCGACTTCCCTGCGGGCCCTACGGCGCGGTTTGAGAGGCTGGCACTACCTTATTTTTCAACGCAAAGAGTCGGGGAAAACGTCTTTCTTTAGAAAATTTTATCAGGAATCCGAAAATCGCAACGCCGCCCTCGAAAAATAAAAAGTGTGCCCGCCTACTGGTTTACCAGTTGCAAAAGCGGGGTCCAGGGGCTCTCAAGCTTCTTCTCCAGGGCGCCCTTCTCTCATGCTTTGATCATCTATTAGACGTCTTTGCTAGACGTCTATTAGACCATCTTCGATCGAAACATAGACATCTTAAAGACGTCTATTAGTCGTCTATTTTCCCTGTAGGACGGCATGTTCCACAGCAGAAGAAACTGTTATCTTTGTCTGTTGTTGTTACCTGGCTGGGGGTGCGCAAGAGGCTATCGCAGACGTCCCTACAGACACCTTGGATTATCTTTGATTTTTAGGGTGGTGACAGCTGTGAATTCCCTGGCCCTGAAAACCCTCAGAGATGCATATTTTCAACTTGAGCGGTGCATTCGGAGCATTGACATGGGCGTTATTAATGTAAAATAATTTCATTCAAAAAGAAGCATTTTCGGCGCGCTTCACCAGCGAGAGGCTAGCTGCTTAATCGGCATCGTCGGAAGCAGTATGAAAAATTTTGCGGGCATCTCTCAAGTGCTTAAAAAATATTTTAGCT